CGTTATATAGACGAGGCTCACGTGACCTACTTGTTATAACAAGTGAAATAGCTTCTATAAGCCGCGAAGACACCACAAAGCCTTGTGTCTCCGTTTTCCCGCGTTCTTACTTTAGGAAAAACCCTTCTCTCCTTCCTGTGGCGAGGAGTTTCCTCTTACTAATCCTCTACCAAGCGTCCTCAAATAGATGCCACGAGGCACGCTGGCTAATACGTTACAATATGAACTTGGCAACGGTGAACTCGTTATTTTTTAAACAATTATTTTCTCAAAAATGCAAACTTTTCTTTAATTCAACGTCTGTAACCACACCATCCATGTGGCTGCCTTGGCTCACCTGATTACTTGGTTACGACGATGCAGCGTTGCCCCAGCTGCTCAGCCTGTAGACTCTTTAAAGAGAGGCAAGCGTTATTCTCGTTCTACATTGACTACTCGTACTGCATTGACACACAGCTGCATTTACAAAGGTGGATTTAGTTCTCTTTTTTGTGAGGTGAAGCCTCCCATTTTAAGTACTTCTTAAAACTAGCTGACATCCAACTTATCATACATGCGGCCATACGGGCCAGAGTTCGTCCTATGAATCAGGGCGGCGCCTTTCCCGGCGGCCATGACCCCGGTTACGGTAGCGGCGTCCCTTTGCCCAGGTGTCTGGCGCGGCGCCGTCAGGTGTCGGAGCGGTCAGGCGACGGCACAGTCTCGCCTCACACGTTTGCTCATTAGCAATGCGGTCGGGGCGGCAGGTGGCGTCGCGGGCCCTAGCAACGCCTGATTCGGGCATCGGCGGCGTGGCTTAGGGCAGCGGTGTTTGCGCCTCGACCCGTCGTCAGTCTTGGGCTTGAGGTCGGGCACCCTCAGTCATTGCCCGTGGCGTTTGCCTTTGCCCTAGCGACCCCAGAGGCGGCCCGAGATTTGGCGATAATGCATTCGGGTGGCGGCGCTGTGGCGTCTCGCGGTGCGCGGCAATGCACCTTAGCGGCGCAAGGCGATGCGGCAACGCATGCATCGGCGTCCCCCCAGAAGCCAAAGAAACTCGCCCTTATCCCTACCTCGGAAAGGCACTTCTACTCGCCGTCGCCTCCTCTATCGGAATGACCGAACTTGTGTGCTGCGGCTACCTCCTCAGGATGGCGGGGGCATGTGGCCCTCCCCCGCTTCGTTTTCCGTGATTGGCGGGCACGCATCTCGCGGTTTCTTCCGCCCTATCGCGGCGTCATTGGTGACCGTTTGAGTTCCGCCAAGTTCCGTTTAAACTCAAGCGTCACTCGAGTCCTAAGAATAGGTGCCGCTAAGTTACCGGGGTTTGAAACGGCAGCGTCCGTATTTCCAGGTGAATCAGCAGCGGCGTCCGAGGCGCGCTTCCGTCGACACAATATAGCTGCATGCCACTGCGTCCTCGACACTTCCGACGCACTCCCAGGTAGTAAAAGATGCACTTTTCTAGGCCCTCTTACATTCGTTCTCAGAAACGTTACTTTGAATAAAATATCGAAATACGCGTCGCAATCTTACGCGTGCGACCGTCCCTTTACACTTCGTATGTAGCCAATTACAGTAAAAAGGATAGTGCTGGTCCCATTTTCGAAAAATGCGAAATATTCCAAATTGTAAATTCGAATTTTCCGTACCATCAATACGCAAAATGGCAACAAGACGGTTTTAAATCCGGTTTCTTCGAATTTTTCTCATTGTTGTGAGTTGTGATCGTATGATGATATAAATATTCTTCTATGGAATGACGTAGATAATATTCTGATGAAAGGAAATAGATTTAAAGAATGCAATAGTTTTAACTTAGAACTAACAAATACACTTACTTCATCTAACAAGTTTTGATAACTGATTATGGTATTCGAAAATTGGAAGCTCTCTGCGAAGATATAATTAATTATTTAATAAACTAGCATTGAAATTATTCTTGCTCTTCTTTATAACGTCCTCCAAATATTGCATGAGATAAATTTATTCCTGTTTTATTTTTAAAATTATTTCCATATTTTATTGGTAAAAATAATAAGTGATTGCTGCTTCTGACAGTCGACATGAATGCAGATATGCGCCACAGGCACTTTGTTTGGATTGGTATTTTCAAGATTTTTTAGCTGAAGCTTTTTCAAGTTACAGTTGAGGACAGATTTTGCAATATTTTAATATTAAATAACTGTTTCCACTAATGTGAGAAAGTATGTGATGACTGGGAACACCTGTTTAAAATCGACCTATTGCCTGCCCCCTCGAGTAATCGAAAGTGCAGCTTGATGTGCAAATTTCATTTCATATGTACATTATTCGATATGTACAAGCGAATTTGTATTATATTTCTAGCCAGCACTGGGTTTTTAAATACCAATCTTTCGCCTGAGGTTGACAGGCGGCATGGCGATTGGCAGCGGTGCGGTGATGCGGTCGCACATCGTCCGCATGGAAATAATTATTTTATTCGAAATTTATACATGGCGCAAATAAATTATGTGTATAAGAGACAGGCGCAAAACTGCCCAACTTATATCAATCATATTCATCTGGTAACAGTATCAACAGCTCACTACAAAAAATTCACATATAATACATGTACATTATTTTACAACACCTTGCCAGATGACATTAAACGATTAAATTCGATACAAAAGTTTGTCCCAAGTAAATCTTTTCTGCTGCACAGCTGTTTCCATACAAGTAGAGACTATTCCGAGCATCCAAAAGGAAAGTAATATTAATTTTAACAATGCCATTTAATGTATTATTTGGATTGTTTAATTGTAAAGAACCTGTAACAAGTATTGTACTTCAGTTTCTAGGTCAATGGCGCCCATCTCGATCAGGTTTACGTCTAGTTTCCCTGATCCTCGAGCAAATGCTGGGATGGCCCTTTGTTTTGTTTTGGCGTAAATTAATAAATAAATGTTGTAGAGTATAATATTTACATATGCTGTAGTCTCAATTAATTAAATGGATTAGTGCTCCTCTGTAGTATTTATTTCGGTGATGCTTTATTTCAAAAACGTGAACATTTTTCGCGTTTCTCAAATTTCCTGCCCCCTAATAGTTTGAAATTAGACTTTCAGAATATCATAGTAGAGCAAAAATCACTTTTCATTTGCAAATTTTCTGAGGGAAATTTGGAGCAGTTTTTCATAATATTTCATTATGGTGTTACTAAAAAATCCTTATTTTGAGTTCATTTATACTCAAAACGTTTGAGATTTCGGGAACCTTCATTGGAGATCATTTAAAGTGTTAATGTCCACAATTGCAATTGCATGTGTACAGTAATAAACTACATCTGTAATATCAAAATGAATGGGGCAAGAGATATTAAAAAAATATACTTACATGTATTTTCAACATTAAATGGTACCAAAGTACATACGTCTATATTATTCAAGTATTACACAAGAGTGAATTTGGATTATTGGATTCCCCAAATAATAATGGATAATGTTTTAAAAATAAATATGATGAATGAAATAACTCTTCACATTTTTGTGGTATTCTGTAATATAAAAGGTTTTTATATTACATACTCCCAAACAGTGAATGATTTTTAAATGGTTCCAAAATTTTTCTTTAAATTTCTACAAAGATTAACAACAATGCACTTATAAAAAGGGTAAAAGTCCAATTTGAAATAAAACCTCTAAATTATTCAGGTACAGATCCACGGGGAGAGAAATTTCCCCCTCTAAAATTTTTCAATAACTATTAATTTTAACTTGTCACGAAAACTTTCAAAACTAAATATTTTCAGATAATCATTAAAACAAATAAACTCATATCACAGCATGAGCTGCAACATGTAACAAAATCTGTAAAATGACTCATTTGACAAAAACATTTTTAATTTCGCCTCGCAAAATTTGTCTCTGAATCTGCCCCTGAATTTTTTGATAGGTACCAAGTTCAACATTTCTGGGATCCTCTTCTACATCTTTATTAAAGTTGAGATGTTTTCTAGTCTAATTGATACTTCAATATTGGTACTTGCAAAAATGTTTCTCTTTTTTTTTTTTTAGAAGTCTAGGTTGAGCATACTTTAAAATTTTAAACTTTTTTTTGGTCTTTGCTAGTTAGTAAGAACTTCTTGGACATCAAGTGCCTAGAGTAAGAGAGCCTCTTTGAAGTTTTTTGTTCAACATGTCAAGAGCCTTTTATCCTTTTGGCCACAGTGGTTTAGTTTCTTGTGGAAATTTGAATTTGGCAAGTTTCAACATTACTTCTGGAGACTGGATTAACATGGCAAACTGAACATCATTTGTTAATAACTGTTATGAAAATATGTGATTAGGTCCCTTATTGCAAATATTTATGTGGTATGTAATGACAAAAGCAACATTTTTTGTGAAGAGTAGAATTCCAGGTACAAATTCTGCTCAGATGATTTAGTATGATTGAATAAGCCCCGGAAATAAGGAATTGCAAAAACTTAATTTTCATTTGTAGAATTAATTTCAACAAACTGAAAACTCAAATGGACAGAAAATTCAGATGGAAGAGATACAATGTTTTCTGCAAATAAAATTTAAAGGTGGACCAAATTCGTTATGAAAATTGTCAATTACATTTTATATGTTTTTTCACTTGTATTTCTTAATTAAGTCATTTGAACCATTAAAAATACATTTTCAACTGTACTTTTGATTTTCCATAGACCCCCTTCTCATTGCTATTAATAATAAAGTTTCTATTTCCCCAAGTTTTATATTTAACACAGAAAATCTATTTCTATAACATTTGAGATTCTTATCATTGGAGTTCTATTGCAATGTCTTAAATATTTAATAAATAATATTCAATGAACCAATTATACAAACTTAACTCAAATAGGACTTTAACATTTCCTGAAAGATGAAATATTTTAAAAGGTCATTCTAGAATTTACAAAGATTGTAACTACAAAAAATTCTTACTTATTTAATTAATTATAACAGTGATGACCCTTCATAGATCTGTACAAATTTGTATTTAACATGGTATACAATATAACAATTGATATCTGGAAAAAAAAAAAAAAAAAAATCACAATTTAATCTAGTTTATCCGGTCACATTCTGAGGTGTAGTAAAGGAAATTTCACTTTGCAAACCTGAACATACATCATTAATTATAGCATTAACTATATTTTTAGCAAAGGAACACACATTTACAAAAATGTATAATATCAATATAATCAAGTGTAATAAGTATATCAATTCCAATAAAATTTACTGTTACAAGTGAAGAGAGCACAAGGAAATTCCTTGTTTAACTGCACTCTTCAGACACTTACATGATCTTGAAGAGAGATCTGAAGAAACAACCTTTTACATTACAATGAGTTTATGGAAGGCATCCCAATAATGTCTACTTTCTTTGCTATTCTATTAATTTGGATGCTGTGCATTGATTTACAAGAATCAAGTATAATTTAAAATTCAGATTACATTACTAGAGATACACGAAATTGTTAATTACTAACCATGACACAACTCACATTAGCAATTCAATAGGAATTATACAGCTTAGTTACAAATTAGTTTTTTTTTAAAGATATTCATTTATGCAAATTGTATCAAAACAGTTCATAAAATTCCTGCTGAACTGCCACATTATTAAACTGAATTGAAAGAACACTGCCAACTTAAGTTTTTACATACTTTATTCACAAAATAATTGCTTACAGTGAAAACTCGTAATACTAACAAAGAAAACTCACAATACAGTGTGCCCCAGTTCATCGTATTCCCTGTTTTTTGACAAATTAATATCCAATTTCATACTCCTGCTGAGTCATTTAATGATACATAACATTCAAAATTGAAATAAATAAATACCATACCCGTTTAACAAAAAAAATTAATATTATTGAATATCAGGTAGGCAAATTAACAAAATATACAATTTCATCTAAAAATATTTTACATATTTCAGCACTGCCTCCATTAAAAGAGGATAAAAAAAGAGCACAATGGCTTACAAAGACTCAAGGTAGCAACTAAAACAAAATATGATCTAGTTATTGTCCTAAAACCACTGTCACTCTGCAAATTTAAAAATAACATCAAAAGAATTAATGTACATTTAACTGTGCCCTGATTTCTTCCACAAGCATGTTTCTTTTTTATAGTCCAAAAAGCATACAAGTCCACTTGCATCTCAAAATATATTTCCCACAAGTATATGTTTGTACAATAAGGCAGAGATTAAAACCCTTATATCCTTCCACTGTTCTTCTTTATGTAATATAGAAAAATTGTAACTTTAGAATATTTGTAGCAATGCAAGTCATAAAACATTTCTGAACATTCAAAACCTAATGCTATATGCATTTTATAAATCTCTAACCAAAGTCAACAAGCACCAAAACAATGAAAGTGATGCTCGAGACTTGCCTGAAATTGTTGAGCAAAGGCCATCAGCATGAAACCGATTATAAAAGAACTTTAATATACAGCTTTTATTCAACTGCTAATACAACTTATGTATTAACTAATATTCCAATGAGCATTATAATAAATTCAATATCTGGAAACCTTACTGACAAATATCCTTAAACAAAAGTCTTCAAAGAGGAACAAATAATAAATGTAAAAGGGCATTGTAAAAGCAAATTAAATCAAAAGTTGAAAACATACACAAGCAGGAAACATTCTTTGGAATGAGGATTTTTTTGTGTTATTACAAACTAGTCATAAACTGACCTTCCCTGAAACTTCATAATTTGGAAACATAGATTATTAACATTTGGATGTAGTTTTGTAATAAAATTCTAATGGCAAAATGTGATATTACAATAAGAATTCAGTTGTTTTTGAGAACTATTATTACAATGAAAATTTCCAAATCATAACTGCGCTATTCATTAAGCACATAATACTAGCACTAACCTTTTTCTGATGAAAACGTTAGCCAGTATTACTAAATGATTTAGTTTACATAACAAGTTTCAGAAGTTTTGCACAACATGAACATCACCTGGTGTAAAATAAAAGGCTCAACCATAGAGCACAATCAGCTTAAATACAAAATAAGCACAAAATATAACTTCGAAATCTTTGTTTCTCATTAAAGAAAGTTAATTTCACAATACCACAAGTTTTAGTTCAAAAGAGGAGTCACTTCGAAATACCATTTCATCTTTTTATATTTTACATTTTCAGCACTGTGTATTTCATACATGTAAACAATTTACATTAAATGGTAACTATTTACCATGTTACAGTAATGAATTATTAATATTAGATCTATTTAAGTAAACTATGATTGTAAAAGGCAAAATACTGAAATATGTACAACAGTATTAATTCGATAAATTCATAAAAATGCAGAATATGTACAAGAGTTAAGGACAACAAAGCGTATGTCTTGGCATAGGTGTGGGCATAAACCAGTGAGAAACAATTTTCAAAGTAACAATACAATAGAAGAATTACTCAGCAACTGTCTTAAGTCTGTGGCAATATAGCATAACGGCAGTGCAATTGAAGTACTACAGCCATTTGCATTTCCATAGCTCATACACTTATTCTACAGCTTTTGTTGTACAGGAGTTAAATAGACCCCAATTGGTAAGTTATTACACAGAAACCTTGTCGAAACACACTGAAATTTACCAGCAGTTTCACGCAACAGTTTTTCACTGTACTTACTGTAATAATCACACAATACAACATTTTTCAGAGTGTGCTCACAAAATGCCATAGGGTGTAATTACATAGGAAAATATTTGTGTGTGCACAACCCAAAAGAAATGGTCTTAAAAAATCAGTCACACACTACACATATTACAATATTGCCGACTAAATCACATATATGAAAACTCAATAGGAAAGATACTACCAGCATACAAAGCCCTACAGACATTCTTACCACATATGGGTTTCACGAATTTCACTAATTATGTGGTTAGCACGCTGCAGTGCTTTCAACATATCAGCTGCTTCCCGCCGACGTTGTGCAATATGTTCAGATTCATTTAAAAGCTCATCCGCTTGATCTGATTTATACAAATGTGTAACAAGTTCAGACTGCAAATTATCCTTCACAAAATTAACTAGAAAATGCATTACAGCTTTTGGTACACTATCCTGAATGGACTTGCGCACTATATAGAAATAAGATTTTATTAGTCGTTCTATGACGTCACAATCTCTTTGTTCTCTATCTGAGAGCTTTCTGCTTGCTTGAATTGATACATCAGGAAGCAAATTCACAGGTTTTTGTGGGCTCAACACATTTTTCCCACTATCAGATTGAGGACTACCAGAATTTTCAGTTGAGTTATCTTTGACATCACCTCGACTAGCTGGTAATATTGTAGCCAACCATCCTGCAGTGTTGTTTGTAGGATCATTCCCTAAACCACGTGGAACTTGATTTTTCATCATGTCTTTTCCAACATCACCCACCAAATTTGGCTGTACATTACTGTGAAATTTATTTTTATTGACTACTTTTATTGAAGAGTCATCTTCCTCAACAGATTTCAGTAGAGACGAAACAACAGTTGCATCTTTATGAAAATCTGGATGTTTAGTGTTTATGTATGCTAACTCTATTGCAACAATATTTTCAACCATCGAGTTAGTAGCCGGTAGCCGCCGTCTTAAAAGCTGGGTAACAACATCCACAATGCATTCATGCAACTTTGGAAATCGTAACATTTCTTGCTGAACTTCTGTGCCACAGTGTTGGATAATCCTTTGCATTTCTTCATGTACTAGTTCTACACAGCGCAAAGAAGGTTCCTCTAAGCGGCGTATTTGACGCTTCACAAGTAGTTCAAAGGACACTTCTGGCACGAATAATGCAGGGCGTGGACCAGTGGCATTGCGGATTGCTGTTAAAATATCCATCTTTGTCAATCCTGTTAGAGGATGAATTGAATCCAGGGTTCTTCCAAAAGTTTCATGAAAAATGTAGCAGATACGAGCTCCTCCACAAAGCTCAGTGGTTTCAATGTTTCTTGCTGTCCCCTCAATGGTGGCACAGTAAGCAGAGGCAAATTTTGTGATAATTTGTAACAATGTTTGGCTCTTATCAGATACATCATCACCATAAGAATTCAGTAGTGACTGGAATTGTGACACCATAACGTTAACTCTTGTTTTCAAATCTGGCAGGCAATCACGGATGTGGTGCATTAGCAAGCGATTGAGAGTTTTGGCCAAGTATGGGGTTCCATTACGATTTGCAAGAGTAGGATATTTTTTCTGCAAAAACACAGCTTCATCTTTCAAAGCATCTCTAATGGTTTTATTATCCATTATATCTTGTTGTGATCTGTTTACGACACCAATTATACCAAGTTTTACAGGAATTACTCGTCCACATAATATGTCAATGGCATCTGTGCCAGCATCCATAAGATCCAATTTGGTAACAACAGCAAGAGTGCGACGCCCATCTGGATCACATTCTTTAGCCAACTTGAGACTTTCACTAGTTGCCATATCCGCATTAGCAGTTACAACAGCAAGAATAATAGAATTAGGATTAGCAATGTATTTCAGAACAAGATCACGGATTTGCGATTCAATATCTTCTGGCTGGTCTCCAACAGGAACCTTTGTAATTCCTGGCAAATCTACTAGAGTAAGATTCACTACTCGAGTTGAATAAATTTTAAGACTTATTGGTTCTGGGCAAATGCATTTATTCTTGCCAGCCATTCTCTCAGTTTCATTTTCAATTTCTGTCCTTATTTCATCAAAATCCGTATATATCTTGTTTTTTGTATGCATAAACATTCCCCATTCTTCTAAATCTAATGTTCCATCTTCTGCTGACCTGTGCTGATTATCTCCTTTAGGACAATAAACCAATTGCAAAACCAAAGGGCGACGGGTAACAATACCAACGCCTCTAGGCAAGAAGGATCGTCCGACTAAACTTTCTATAACAGAACTCTTCCCAGAGCTCTGAGTTCCAACGACTATTATCTGTGGTAATTGAATGGCATCGGCTCCAACTGTACTAAACACATCTTGAAGCTTATTTATCACAGGTATCAACGCTTCCATTGTGTCGGATTCGACAATGAGTAGCTCTATTTATCCTTTATAAAGTCGGCAACAGCCACATCTAAATTCAACAGAAACAGAAGTTCCAATTTCAATGATACTCCTGGCCACTCCACTGGCCGGCAGAACCCGGGTACATACAGATCACAAGAAAAAAAAAGCACGCATGAGCGAGAAAATTCTAACCAGTAGTCGGTCAATGCAGCTTCACGCGTAACTGTATGTTCACTACACAGCGTTTCACATCAAAACGACGGAATTTTAACAAAGATGACCGATATCAACTGATACCACATAACAGCGATCGTGTCGTTATAATTCTGATTCTATCGAACCGTAAAGCTGAGCTTTCTGGATAGATGGCGCTAATAACACAACGCGGTAACTTCTCAATTGAAATGTTGGCAACATGACAATTGAAGATATGGCGGCTGAGTCTGGTATGGATGCGTGCCCGTCTCCAGAAATACAAGATTCAAGAAAAAGGCCTTTGGACGGTGAAGTTGAAAATGGGGTAACGAAAAAGTCACATTATGCTGGAGGTGCAGATGCTACTTACCACTTCAAAATGTTGGTACCTAGTGTGGCAGCAGGTGCTATCATTGGTAAGGGCGGCGAGACCCTTGCCCAGCTACAGAAAGATGCAGGCGCTCGCGTGAAAATGTCCAAGGCAAATGACTTTTATCCTGGAACAGCAGATCGGGTCTGTTTGATAACAGGTGGTACAGAAGCTATCATGGAAGTACTTGTATTTATTGTGAAAAAAGTCAGAGAGAAAACTGATCTAGCATCCAAACAAAGTTCAGATTTCGAAAAGACAACAGACCGTGATAAACAGAGCAGTACACAGGTTAAAATTTTGGTTCCAAATAGTACAGCTGGTATGATAATTGGCAAAGCAGGTAACTATATAAAGCAAATCAAAGAAGACACCGGTGCCTATGTGCAAATATCTCAAAAAGCTAAAGACAAAAGCCTTCAAGAGAGGTGTATTACTGTAATTGGAGATAAAGGTAATATTATACAAGCATGCTCTATGATACTATCGAAGGTTGTGGAAGATCCTTTAAGTGGTACTTGCCTGAATGTTAGTTACGCAGATGTGTCAGGTCCTGTTGCTAATAACAATCCTACTGGTTCTCCTTATGCTAATCAAAGCAGACAGCTCACACCACTACATACTACATTCAATTCTATGAGCAGTTTGAATGCTCCATTACCATCTGTTGGAGCGATGTTATTAAATGATGGTGGTCTCAATTTAAGTTTAAATTTAGGTGTTCCAAGTGGAGGAACATCTCTTACTACACAACTGCTTGAACAAATTAAACTGACCCTACGTGGCAGTGGCTATAATGAACAAGCTACAAGTGAAATTACTGCAGCTATGACTACTCTTGCACATTATGGAATTTTAGGAATGGGCTTAGGCCTTACAACTGGGGCTGGTAATTCATCTTCAAGCAGTCATAATCTTATGTCTGGTGGAAACTATATGGGAGTAAACAACCTGGAATCAGCATCTCTCTCCCAAACAGCAAATGGTGTTGGCAACAATGATGGTGTCTTTGGCCTCATTGGTTCCGTGTCGGGACTTGGCGGCTCTTCTCCTGTACCTCGTTCTGGAATTTTGGAACGATATGAAGGTAGCAATCCAGGTAGCAGTTTTAATTGTTTTCATCAACAGCAGAGTCCTAGAAATATTAATTCTTCTTTTACCTTCAACAATAATTCTTTTGGTTTAGGAGCAGGGCAGCAACAGTCCACCATGTCTTCTCTCTGTAAGAGTCCAACACCTTCTGAAATATCAGGTGAACAAAAAAAGGTTGAATTGGAAGTTCCTGAGAACATAGTTGGTGCAATCCTTGGGCCAGGAGGTCGTTCTTTAGTTGATATTCAACTTAGAAGTTGTGCCAATATCCAGATTTCAAAGAAGGGCAATTTTGCACCAGGTACACGTAATCGCCTTGTCTCCATAACAGGAACTCAAAATGCCATAAACACAGCTCGCTACCTCATAGAACAAAGAATCAATGAGGAGGAAGCCAAACGGGCTCGGCGTAGTACTCAGGCTGTTCTTCAGTAAAATGTTTCTTGTTGTTTTATCCATGCATTCATATATATTTTTCTTAATTTCATTTTCAAGAGTTTTCATTCTGAGTTTCAGAACCAAATTTTATATTTCATTATAACATTCTGTTGTATCAGTCTCATAGTTATTGGGAAAATATAATTAATACTCCATTTTCCATCCAATTCATTAAGTGCAAAACAGTCTGTGGCTCATGGGTTGAGCTTCGTCTTTTTCACAAGTTTTTATTTCTCAAACATCATTGACATGACTCATTTGTAGCGATAAGTGTCCAATAAATCTTCACATCTCAAACATTTTTTTAACTGACAAGTCACTTATATGTAGTCATCTTTGTTATGTATTTCGTGAAACAATTTTTGAATTTTAAAGAAAAACTGAACGTATTAAAAAGTTTGCTTTTGTTCTTTCAATTGCAAAGGAATTTTTTTTCTTCCTTGTTGTTCCCAATAACATCTGAGAATTGTTTTCTTTTCTGATATGTACTACATGTATATTTAAAGTCGTATTGCGTAAATTAATTTAGCAACATTTTCAATTCATCCGATAATTCTTTCTGTAAATATATTTTGTCACACCAATATATATATATATGCCAGAAATGACTTTCAAGATTGATCTTTTTTTTTTTTTCCATTAAAAACGGGCACCAATATACAATATATTAGTGTGTTTATTATTTAAATTTCTTTGTTCCTCGGTAGTATTGGCTTACCAGTGAAAGATTACCATTATAAGATAGTCTACTTCAAACACTTTGTATCCAAAGAAAAATGTAGATTATTCATAACGATCTTCATCTCATGCTATATAACTGCAAAAAAGTACAAACATTTAGAAGAAAAAGTTGCCTTTAATCCATCGTTCGTGTGTGATATAAGAAATTGTGTGAAACTCACAGGTTTTCATGTATACTTACGAGTATTTTTTGTGCATTAATGTTAAGTGTGTCAATATTTTCAGGCTATTACGCCTTTTTTGTTGAGGTTGATCATAAGTCTGAACTCTCTTCTTATAAAGTATTTATGCATGCAACATGCTTTCATTTCATTCTGCTTCCTTCATTCCGATAGATTCAGTCCAGATAAAAACAAATATTGTTTTATAACTATTGTATAATTTATCAGTAAGTAGAAATGGAAAGTGTTTATTTTTAATGTATTATGATAGGTAATTAAGTCTTGTGTAGAAATTGTTTGGAATATTGGAATTGCAATTGTTAAGTTGTTATGCAAAATATCAATATTTGGCACAATATTAGAGTATTACTTGTGACTTATCTGAAGCAGTTCATTTTTCTAAATTTAAGATTTCACATTTAATCTGTGACTCCTGATCATAGTTCTCTGTAATACCATTAATTGACGGTGCATTTTTACACGTAACTGGAAGTTTTGAATTTTGTGTTTGAATTAATCTCATATTTCTTGTCATTTCATTTCTTATCTTTTCTAAAAAAAACACATTTTCCTTTTCTCAATCCTTTGTTTATTTTTTTGCTGTATTCCCATTTGCTTAGTTTCAATTTTTTATTTACGGCATAAGATGTAAGGTTAAAAAAATCTTAGCTTTGATTTTCTTACAGTCTGTTTCTCATTCATGTAGCTGTGTGTCACACCACGTGTTGTTGCCCCATTGCGGTTGTAGATATGAAAGTAGATTTTTAGCATTACCAAGAGGAGTAATTGTTTTAATTTTTATTACCTCTCCCTTGAACATTTAGTAACTATTATCAAATTCTCCAGATATTTTCTATTGTTGTGGGGTAATTGATATGCCAGTTACTTGATTAATATTAGCAATTTTTTAAATGTGAATGATACTCTTCGATGTGTTTCAAATTGTTTTTAAGGAAGTTGCAATTTTTCTGCTCTGTGAACCAGTGACCCATTGTAGGTCAAAGCGTTAATAACAGTTCGGAAATAAATCTTGGTTTACTTTGTTGGAAAAATGAAGAGAGGAAGAAATGCTGATGAACATAGATTGGGATAGACATTTTCATGAGTGAGTATGGATTGTTTCTGTGTATATAAGTAAGTTTAATGGAAAAAGATTAAATGTGTGTTCATATTCTTACATGTCTATATAATAGTAGTAAAAGATTATTAATTTAAGACTTAAATTAAGAAATGTACCTCTACTTGAAAATTATTTCTAGCGAACACTTCTTATGATCTTTCCTTCTGCTCCTTGTAAACCATCCTTTTTGGGAAAGGTTTCGTGACTTGCATGTGAAATTTGTTCTATTTGTCACGTTTCTCATTTTTGTTTAATTTTTTTTATTTTTTTTTCATTAGAATTCCTAGTATCATCTTTCAGAATATTCTTGTTTATTAATACAGCTTCATTGTTATGTATTAGAAAATTACTCTTTCTTTTATCATTAATTTGTAAGTATACAATATTATTGCATTTTCATTTTTAAAGAAAATTTGTTAGTTGCTGATAGTATATGTAATGGAATAGCATCTGAAAAGATGCAAATTTAGAAGTGACACTTTGAAGAAAAAATTCATCATTTAATTTCTGTACATCTGCAATCATACATAATACATCTAATCTTATGTGAAAATAAATGTCTTTTTGTGAGCCTTTCTTCTCATATTCATTAACAAAAATTATACATTAGGCATTAAGATGCAGGATGTTCTTTTTTGAATAGATATATTTTAATGTGCAATTCAAAGTATGCCATAAATTTTTTTAAATGTAATTTAATTTGAGAGAAATTGTATGTGATTCTCACAAGGTTTAATATTGTGCGATGTTGAGATCAACTTTGTGATACATTTATAAGGCTCCCAATGGGAGAACTTGAAGAAAAGGAAAGAGATTTTGTAATAATTACAAAATTTCCACAAATGTTTGAAAGCTTTATTATTGGCTGTTTTTGAGTACAAAAATGTACAGCAATGAAATATTTAACTTTGTGTTGATTATATGTTCTGGTTTCTAAATGAAAAGATTAATATCATCTACATTGCTTTAATGAGTGAAAAATTACATGTTCAACATCACATACAGTTTACAATATTACGTTAATTCAAACAAAATTGTCATCTTTACTTCATAGAAAATGTGAAAATGGTAAAATAAAAATGTATCACTCTTCCCAAATATTGATTATTGAAAATTGATATATTGGTTTTATCCAGCCTTGTGGGCAGTATTACCAAGAAATAAGGTCAATGAAATGTTAAACATGTAAAGGTTTCAGCCTCCTGGACATGAAAGAAGGGAATTGGAAATACTATTGAAGCTGCTGATACTTTTAAGTGTTATTTTTGTAGAGATCTTTTAATATCTTTCTATAAATTTTGAAAATCAGTTACATAAATTATAATTTGAAGAATTGGAACAATGTATAGTTGTAGGAAAATTCACTTGACATTCAAAGGAAATACTAGTCAGAATACATTATTGCTTTTTACCCATTTTTTGTTGAGAAAGAAGAGATTTCCTGACATATTTCAGGATAATGTGTATTGTAAGAGGCCATATTTTGATGATTGAGTTTGAATTATAAGTTACAGAAATTTTAAGGATAAGCATGCAGGATCATAAGATCAAGATCATAACCATAGGCATGCACGTGAGAAAATATTGAGAAGGGCTGTTTAGTCTTACGTGATAAAACATTTTTATTTTCATAAATATGTAATTGATATTATGAAATTTAGTCATTTAAATGGTATCATTGGGTTTATAGAGACCTACCTAATAATGTTGAACTTTGGTATGTTAATTGTTACTTTATGAGACTAGAAGTGCAAAGTTAACTTAAATCAATTAGTATTCTTAAATATTGTTACTGTAAGTTACTGTATTAAATATTATCTCTCTAAATCACTTTATTTTTTATTTCCTGTAAATTTGCATGGATTGAATGAGATTTTTAATAAAAAAAGGAATTAATTTTCAAAATAGGAGTTATTTTATTGGTATGAATCAAAGTTAAGTCAACCGTTGTTTAAATATAATATGAAGAGATAAATATGTGCCTCCTATTAAATTATAAAATTTGCCATCTTGCAAAAGTGTCAAATGATACCACATCTAATTTCTTTTGATAATTTAATAAGTTAGTATGCAATATAATTATCCAATTATAATGTACATTGGAATTTTATCTTTAAAAAAAGTCTCCAAATTTGTCAATTGCAGAAAGTGTAGGCATATTGTTTTTTTTTTCTGAAAATTCATTTTCATTGACTATCATGGTCATTGATTATTGTGGGAGAGTAACAGAGATTGCCATCTGCCTCTTTAACTGTTCTCAACTACTTTAAACACTATTCAACTTCTCCATATTGCTCTTCATATTACATTGATAAGAGCACTTAAAAAATAGACTTTGATTTTTGACACTAATGAAAACTCTTACATTAAAGATATTGTCAAGCCTCAAGTGCCTGAGCCCCACTCCGTGAGGACAGATAATTTTCTTATTATGAGTTCTAAAATGTTAATGATCATAATTATAGAAAGTAAGATTAGGTGATAGTTCAGAGAAACTGGCATAAAATCACAGGGTTAAAACCAATAAGAAAATTCCTTGGATTGAATTTGACTTGATACCATTTAAAAGTTGATGTGGAAATTTAGGAAATTGTTAGGAGATATTTGCAGAAGGGGTTCTCCAAGCCATCTGGTGAGCCTGGAAGTAATTAAACTTTAAATTAATAAATTTTTTAATTGTATCGTTATAGTTTTAATTACACACATCTTTCAATGTGTTTTATTTACGTACTAGTCAAATATGCCACATGTAAATAAAAAGAACTTGATTAGAAAAGGGAGCCCAGAAGTGTTGGCTCCATCTTTTGTTTTGGCCTGTAGATGCCGAAGATCATAAAATAACTTGACTGTTTAATGTGTTTTGTTATTGATGTTCTGACATAAAATGAATGTGTTCAAAAAAATAAATATTGATATTTCAAACTGAATGGTGACAATTATGTTTGAAATTTTGGGCTTGTTTTCTGACAACATTCTCTCTCTTAATGCCTTATGTAACATCCTGCACTTTTCCACAAGGGTCCTATTACAACAAAAAGGAATAGAAATTCACAATTGACTTGACCATCTTAATAACTTCATCTTAATTTGGTTTCCTTTAACAGTCTGTTCTAGTTATTGACTCATTGACATTCTCATCTTCATATAAATATCCTTACATTTTTTTGTTTTCCCATTTTGCTTTAAAAATATAGTACAAAAACTAAAGATATTGAATTTGCAAGTAAGTACTGGTAGGCGTGAAGTCAATTTCAGAATCTCATATAGAATAATTTCAATTTTCTGGAGCAAGATGACAAAGTTAATTGTGTGTGTGTCGCTTGTTCCTGGAAAGTACACATGACCAATACTTTATATGTACGTAATGATTTTGTTTGTACAAAAAGAAAATGCATCTTTAGATGAATTAATATGGTTTCTATTGGTGAGAATGATTGACTGGTGATTTTATTGTATTCTGATCTATGAATCTAATCAAGACATTTTAGTTATTAGAAGTGATCATCACCTTTTTTCTATTCAACCTTGTTTTTTATTTTACATCAAACACTTGTACAATCATTTTCATTTTGTCCAGGCATGTTCACAGCAGAGCATTAGATTTGTTAAATACCTTTTGTTTGGCAATTACTTGACACTATTTCTTCTTGAGACTGTATAGTCTTTAATCAGACTTTAACTGGAATATATTTTAATTACTCAAGTGCGGTCGTGAAGATTTAAAATACTTCTCTGAATGTGAGTATGACAGATGTATAAAGTAGTGATACAATATTGTATCATTTTATATATTGTAAAAATAAATCAACTTCATTTAAAGCATTCATTTATGTGTTAGTCACTTTTTTGCTTAAGGTTGGTGAGCTTTTTTTAGTCAAACTTTCATCAGTTAATATGTTGACTGTCAATTTAAGAGAAAGCAACAGGTACTGTGTTGCTGAAATGCATATGTTGGTCATTTTTGGCTTAGGATAATGGAAGTCTATGTGGACTACTGAGAAGAAGCAGGAGAAATCTGAAATTAGACACCTGCAAAGAGGAAACATTTGATACCCATTGTATGACAAATTGTCTGCTGCCCAGACAACACCTTTAAGGGGGTTGATAATGAAGTCAAGTTAAATTGTACTTTTGATGATACTCAAGATGTACGGGTTTCCTGTCTTAAGTTCAGCATGACCACCTTCATCTGCTGTGTTTAGGAAAATTATGTCAGAAATATGAGTGAGCTGGTGCTAATTGCTGTTCTAGTACTGTGTTTTGTGAGTCTGTTGAATTTATTTTTGAGATTTTGATGTCTGCTGCAGAACACAAACAAATGTTCTGTTACTGGGAAGTTTATGAATGCTCATGTGAAAAAAATGTTTTAAAATTACATAAAAGTCTTCCATTGAGGGTTTGTTTAGTGATGACTAGGTTCTAATTGAGATTTGCTGAGATTTTTCTTAAAATCTGATTTCATTACATCTGGCTATTTGACATTTGGCTATTATACAAAAAAACAGCGAACATAGCTTTTTTTGAGGATGCATTCTTTATTGAAAGACAAGAAAGGAATTAATTGAAAGGGTAATAGATAATGGAGAATAGTATTACTGAATCATTTCCACAATTTTTTAAATATATCTTCAAAATATCCGTCCATGATGGAAGGGGTTCTCATTACATTCTTGTGAGTAACATTCGAAGCCAGCATTTATTTTAATAGGGTGTAGTTTTTCAAAATGGAAACTATAGGTACATTATTATTTTGACATCAAGTGATACATGTTATAAAGTCAGAATGTATTATCACATACAATAAGGATTTGAACAATATCCTCAGATGACTTGACAATTTCCGTGTCAATAAACCTGTATAACTGCACTGAGAAAAGTCGTATGGTTTATTTCCATCATTTTTCTTGGTATTCATTCAGCATTTTTAGATTAATTTAAAAATGACATATTTGGTGTTTTCGTTCTAGTAAATTTAATAATATCACATCTTTTGATGAGAACCTCTTTTAATATGACCAGTTCTAAATCTACACAGAACAAAACTAATATAATTAAAATTATGAGAATTTCTGCCAACCGTGTTTGAAAAATTGGTACAGTAAACTAATATCTGAATTTCAAGTGCTAAGCGTTCAACTTCTAATGGGACTCACTTTTATATTTCCTTTTTGTGCCTTAGAAAAAAAAAAGGCATTGTGTAGTATTAGATGATTTCTTAAACTGACTGTTCCATTAACCTTGCTGTGGACTACTGAAGGTTGTAGAAGAAGCAGAGGCAGAAGAAAAAGATGGACGGATGAAATATAAAAAAACAAATTTAGAAATGCTGGGTTGAAATCTTCAAAGCTACTGCTAACTGCAGGAAATGAAGATTAGTAGCCGCATCCACAGCAAAAATTGAAAGAACATTTCACGGGTGCCAGCCCTAACTGCTGGGAATATCCTGGATCACCGAAGGTCATAGCACCTTAGCAACTACCATACCATTAAACTTGGGACAATTAGTCCAGGATTTTTATTATAGGCTTTCAATGTTTTTTATATTTTGATATATTTATTAATGCTTAAAAAGAGTTGCTCATGATGATTTTGTTTCATATCAACATTGCAAATTAACTGCCTCTCTCCCTATTCCTCTGTTGCATTGCGTTTCTTCCCCTCCCCCTCATTCCACCACCCATGGTCCATCATTCCTCAGTATGAAGGCCGACACATTCAGTTTTCTAACATTTGTAATTGATATGGGTAGCAGAGTTTTACCTAGCAAGATCCTATGTATTCTGCAATTTCAAGTCACATGTGCTAACACATACTTGATATATAATTCTGATTCTATTGTGTTTTAGTTTTAGAATCTCTGGCTTAATAACTACTTTTTTATCTTCTGCTATTTATAATTTGTATGAATTTCTGTCTGAGAAAGCAATGAAATATCAAAATGCTGGCAATGTTATGAAACAAAATTGGTATGAACACTTTGTTTAGTGTTTATAAATATATCAAAAATATAAAAAACATTGTCTTCAGAAAAGAATCCTGGATTAAAATTCCCAAGTTGTCGTGTAGAATTTCCTACTTCTCAGGGACTCACTCTTGAGTTCAGGGCCATAATATACCCTACGTTTTTTACTAGCCTGTTTTCCAATTAACATTAATGAATCCGGAGTAACCTACTGCATTATATGTAAAAGATAATCCTAGAACAAAGTGAATACATTAATGCTTAGATTGTAATGTCCTGGAAGTCATTTTTCAAAATTACTGTTCCTTGCTTTGCAAAATATGTGGAGATGTTGCAGTTTTCTAATAGGCTGCAAAAATAAGCAACACCCCATGTTTTTAGATACAGAAAAGATGTAGTATGTTATTTTAATACATTTTTAACAATCTAATATGCTGAAAATATAACATGTTGAAAGAAATTGAGGTATTTCCGTGAAGCATCAGTTTTATGAATTGTCTTAACTAATAAGTACTGATGGTAGAATTTTGCATTTTGAAAACAAAGCTGTAACATATAGCATTATACAAATTAAGATTTAGTATTTGTTGAGAAAATTATTATTAAGGGAGGAATCAATAAATAAGAAACACTGATTTAATATTTTGTCATTTGTGAACTTCAATAAATTTTAAAAGCAGATAAGAAGTAACGTATGTGCCATTGGGGTAAGCCTTTTTTTCCCATTCTTTTTCTGTACTGTGAACTGAGGAAGCTGAGAACCTTTGAAATGATCCTGAGTGCTCAGGCTTTCAGGATTTTTTTCTAAAATTGATTATTAAAAAAAATATTTTATAATAAGTAAATACTATATTAAGTTATTAGTTTGTGCCTTGTTTTATCAGTTAAGTCTTAATTATAAATTAATAAACAATGGCACTCTCAAATCATGTTTTCAAACATTGACGTATTTTCGATGTCCTATCCCTAATTAGAGAGTGAACGGAGAAACTATAAAACGCAATTTAGCAATAATTACTAAGTATATTTATTTTATATCGCAAATGCTTGATCATTTTGCACTTTGTATGTGATTTTACATTTTATCGCAGTTTGAAAACCTTCAGAAATTTTCTGCACCCGCCATGAAACATTTAATTACTAATTTTTTTCAGAGTTTGGTAACATTTCGCATGTTTAGCAATTGCTAAATATCTACCATATCTACTATTAAGCCTACTAGCCCAGGAACTGAGCTGATGTCAGTCTGAAAAACTTAATTTATTTGTAGTTCTTGCATTACTTATAGGTATTAACATTGTATAATTCTATATTAACTATTAACAGAGTTGCCATTAGTTCTTCATTGTGTACCTGGTAAGATTCTGGTTTTCAATAAAATATCAGTGTATCTGTTTTTGCAATTGTCCTGCCTTTTTTATTTGCTCTTTCTGATATAAGTGTGGGTTAATTTATTCTGCATTTAAATATAAATATTCAAATACTTAGCTGTCATGGTGGATGATAAAATAAATGTGTGTTTTATTATAATGGCAACATTTCCCATAATGCACATGCATTACTAAGAGTGTTTCCCTTTAGACAAAAGTATAACGAAAAATGTAAAACATATCCATGTAGTATGCCATGCTTGATTTTAATCGGTTACAATTGGTATCGGATATTTGCTTATTATTAAGAAAAATACAAAGCACAAGAACCTTCTAACAGTTGAAATAGCAAGTAAGTTTTTGTTCGGCACATCTCGACCCGTACAGCTGTGAAACGAGTATTCTCATTAGTGTGGCCAAATGAGAAAAAATAAGCTTAACCCTATCCCGGCCGGTGCGAGCAGAATCTGCCCATCTGGTTTACCAAGAAGTCAGGAACTATTGTAACTTAGCAATCTTTTAATTACGTTTTTCATTAGTTCCTAGAGAGGCTCACTTTAATATTCGGTCACCGTCTTATTCGAAATATTTTTAATTAAAAAAAAAAGCTGAGAGAAAAAAAAACTACAACTGATGTGTGCATTCAATAGTATCATGTTTATAGCAATAAATCAAAATTATTGAACTTTACATACACATTTTACATTCTGGGAGAAAATGAATAATACATGTCACTTTAATAACCGGCCATTTAGAACCATTATGTAAATAATACTGACTACAGGACTAATATTTACAAAGAAAAATAATTTTAATATTTATTGGGGCAACCTTCACGATTAATAACCTTTCGTAATCATTGGGACATAATTAACGCAATTTTCTCAGTTTCTTCAGGCCGTAAATTTCCCCATACCTCTTTCATCTTCTCTTCAGATCTTTTGAAGGAATTGGGGTTTTCCTTACGTACCTGTCTAGAATTTCCCAAAGATTCTCAATGGGGTTTGAGGAGTGTCCAGAACCTTTGAACAATTGTAAAATATCCGTTCTCTTACAATATGTGTTTTGGGTCATTGTCCTGATAATGAAACGCGAGTCTTATTCCCAAATATTCATCACTTTTCTACAAATTTTGTCTTAGTATTGTGTCCTCAATAAAAAGTCATTTGATCCACACCAGCTGCTGACTTGCACTCTAACACCATGACGTTACCCCCATCGTGCTTTACCGTACGCTGCATTTTTTTTTTTGGTCGAGTTATGTATTCACTTCACGCTACACACGAACTCTTCCATCTGACTTGATTGAATCCATTATAAGATTAAATTTCCTTTAACAGCAAATATCACATCTCGCCACCACTCTGGTGCCTTGTGAACGTACGTTTTGGCAAACTCCAGTCGATTCCTTCTATTGACTTAGCTCACGTACGGTTTCCTTTGGGCTACTCGTCAGTTATATTCCGCACTTTAATACTCTCCGCACAGTTTCGGAATGAACAACCTTTTCATTCGAACCTCAGCCACAAATTTTGGAGCACTCAGACTTGATTTGTTTTTCTCTTTTTGGATGATAGACCGCCTTTCTCTGTCAGCTTCCTTCCATGGTTGAACTTTCTGCATCTTGTATTCGATTCTATTCTCGTTGATGGCATCTAACTGAGGGTTGAGAGCAGTTATCCGTGAACCGACGTTTTATATAGGGCACTTAACTGAGGGTTGAGAGCAGTTATCTGTGAACAAACGTTTTATATGCTCCTAATAACGGAAATTGTGGCAAAATTAGCGTCCACCAATAGTGACCTAATTATAAAGTGGCATGATTATTAGTAGCTTTGAAGAAAATCGGAGAATATTTCTCGCCTTATTCATTATTATACAATTTGCAGAGGAAATAGTGTTAACTAAATATAATTTTTTCATTTACTTTGTAGACGTATGGAAAAGTGCATAGCGAATATGTACACGGTTGCTGACGGACCGAATTTTAAAGTGAGCCTCTGTATACTATTCTAAGTTTTTTAAGCAAAATTTTTAAATAGCGGTTTGACGGCCGTTTTGTTTTGGACGTAAGTTAAAGTTCGTTTTAAATTGGGTTACAAATAAAAATAATGAGATTTATGTTCCTATTTCAGGCCTCAACCAAATTTAATAATAATTGCGTATGTAAATATCAATAATTAAAACACGTAATTACTGAGTTTTTATTAAATGTAATTAGGCCAAGTACTTCATAAGATAAGGAGCCGTCCATAAATTGCGTAACGCAGATCTTTAGTATTTTGAATACCTCTCTCCCCACTGTAACGTGCAATTGAACCCTCCTATAACATAAGTATCCCTTGCACCCCCCCCACTTGTTAATCGAAGAAGTGAGAATAAATTATAGTTCAGTAAAAAATGTATACGTTTTATGATGTATGATAATTAGTTGTCGAAGCTGACTGCGACTAACTATAGATTGGGAACAAATTTTGAGGAAAGGAAAGACGCGCAGACGAGAAAATTTCTGATCACACGCTATCGTGTATGGCGCATGGACAACTTAACTCACTGCGCCAATTTAATTGTATTCTACAAAATACTGCAGATCAGTTTTGAATATATTCTTCGTAGTCTTACAGCTTCAATACAAGCTCTTCGGAAAAAACATTTCCATGCAAAATAGAAAGTAGAGGTCAAAGATTCGACGTATATTCATTTGTAAATCGTACGGTTAAAAATTGAAATGAAATCCCTGCAGCAGTCGAGCCTTTTCCTGGCTCTGTTGAGGTTTTCAGAAGACGACTTAATAAGTACATGTAGAGGATGTATTTTACCGCATAGCTCAGAATTCATACTTCAAGTGAATTGTAGCGTATTATAGATAAAGTGTAGTGTAGTGCAGTGCGGTGCAGAGGAAATCTACCTTAATTAGTTATATGGCATAACCAAAGAAAGATGTGGTAGAAGAGAAGTGCAGTGAGAGAGTGGGTGGGGGAACAAATTTAGATGATTAAAGAGCGAACTTAAAAAATCCACATCGTGTTACTATTTAAAAAAGAAATTGTATGACAGGTTAATTTTATGTAAATGTATATCTATGCATGTTTACTAGGTGTAAATAAGTGTATGTTTCTTCATATAAATGTAGGCATGTATACTATTTAGGGCAAGTGTGTACACGTGAGAGTGAGCATTCATGTATAAAAATGTGTGAGTAGGTGTCTGTGTATATATATATATATATATATATATATATATATATATATATATATATATATATCTGTGTGCGCTTGTGTGTAAATGTACAGATATTGTAAAACTGTTGGGTTATGGCTTCCTCCTAGCAATCAACCAATTGTAGTCAAATAAATATTATTATTATTATTATTATTATTATAATTATTGGTAACAACTTCAAATAACTTTAAATATTTTGTTTTAAAACAAATTAATTAGATAGTATAGTATCATAAAAAGGAAGTTTTTCAATATATGTTAAAAAAATGTAAAAAATTAAATGTTACGTAAAACATCGAATATCCCCTGACCCCTATGAACACTGCCTCAAGCCCGCTTCCCCGTATTTAGCGTTACGTAATTTATGGACTATTAGTAAATTTACATCTTCTATACTACAAATACTATTG